TAATTGGTTTGGGATGTAGGTCATTAAAAATATTAACATTCTAACAATAAATAATACAAATAGAATATAATAATTTATAATAATGTTCGTTATTAACATCAATTCCTTTAGAAAAATTAAAATTCATAAATGAAAAGAATATTTTATAATGAACCAGCATTAGTTAGTATTGAATTATTGTATAGTTTAAAATTAATGAATGGAAGAGAAATTGAAAAACAATTATTAATGAATTTATTATTCCAATTACAATTAGTTAAATAAGTATTAATTGTTTGTGTAAATGTACTTCATTATATTCCATTAATATTCATTTTTCAATTTATAAATTAGTAAATGAATACTTTATTAAATGTTCAAGGTAACATTAATTACTCTTCCATTTTCTGTTTTGAATTATGAAATACATGTTTTTTGGTTGTTTATTTTTAACATCAGTTAATATTCCAACACCAATTACTAGAATTGGATATTATTGTTTTTATGAATGTAGAATAAATAATATCACTACTCCTACTTCAATTAATAAATTGGACTGTCAATGTTTTTATGGATGTTTATCATTAAATAATTACTATCCCTCCTTCTATTACTAAATTAGAAATACTTGTTTTAGAAAGTGCAGGGTAATCTTCTATCACTTTACTACTTCAATTGTTAAATTACGATAGCTGTTTTTATGATTGTTCTTGAATAACTTCGATTATTCTTCAATCAAAAATTACATCATTTGGAAAGAGTTGTTTTTATGATGTGGTTGTTCATCACTATTAACAGAAGTTACACAAATACTAAGAAAAGATTTTCTACTACACTAATTTCACATTAACATAACAATTAAATCATTCATTTATTTTGAATGTTTAATGTTCATTCGATGATTAAATCATCATTGTCATTGATATTTGTGATATTTTTCATTTTTGTTATTAAATTATGTTATTATTTGATGACATGATACCACGTTATTCCACGTTGATATGAATAACAAAATATGAATAACAACCAACACAACAATAAGTCATCACATCATCCTCATTAAGTATTTAAAGGAACTTGAACAAATAACAAGCATTTAGAAATAAAACATGGACCCAAACAAATGGACAGACGCAACTGTTCAAATGTTCAAAGAATCACAAGAAATAGCATTTGAAAGAAAAAATGCATATATTATGCCAATTCATATGATGGAAGCAATTGTTGAAGAAGAATCAAATATTGTTATCCGAATAGTTGAAATGATGGGAGGTGATGTTAATAAATTAAAGAAAGAAATAAAAGAAACAATGAATAAAATTGCAGTTCAAAATCCACCACCAGTTGATATTGGACTTCATCCAACAACACAACAAGTATTAAGAAGAGCAATAGAGAAACAAAAAAGAATGGGAGACTCATATCTTGCAATAGATGTAATTGTAATGTCATTAATGGAAGAGAAAGAAATTAGTACAATAGTAGGAAATAGTGGAATTAATGTGAAAGAATTTAACAAAAAAATAACAGAAATGAGAAAAGGACAAAGTGTAGAAACAAAAGAAGCAGAAAGTCAATATGAAACATTAAAGAAATA